AAAAAAAAAAAAAAACAAACAAAAAAAAAAACTTGCAAAAAACAATCCTAAGTTTAATCATGCAAAAAATGATTTAGACACTGTAGCCATTTAATTGCACTGAGGTAATTCATTTGGTTTCTAGTGCTTACAGACCTCCAAATGGACATGACACATGAATATAACTGAGATTTTGTGGCTAACATAATTCAGAAATTTGTGGCTAATATATTTGAATCGTGGTACCTGGCATTCAAAATCCTTTTGAGTATGTATAATTAGAACTGTCAATGCAAGAAGCAGACATATCAGACCAGAAGAATGGAGGGGGGAGCCGGGGGAACAGGCATAGAGTCTTGTATTTCACTGACGCAGAATTACAAAAGTTGAATAAATGGAATTCTTATATGTTGAATTATATTTTAAAACTAATTCACAAAGATGACTACTCACATGTCTCTCTTTAAAGAAAATTATCATTTTGGAGGACAAAAACATTTAATATATACTCATAAATCTCCAAATTATGTGTTTTTCCATATTTGCTTCCTTTTATCCCCAACCCCCTCACATACAACAATTAGCATTACTGAACCTACCCCTAAATCAGGAAAATTTTCATTCAAATTTTTTTTATTTAATTCCATCTCTCAGTATCTTGTTTCCTATCTGTAGAGGTAAAACATCTATTTCACTGCAGCTACTGGACATTTTCAGCAACTGTTAAAATTTGAATGTGTTAGAAGTCAGGATGGTTAATAGGCCTTGTGGGTGACAGTTACTGGAAGAAGGTGCTGGGTGTTGGGGATGTTCTGCTTCTTGATCTGAGTGCTGATCACATAGCTACATTTACTTTATAAAAATTCATGAGGCTGTGCCCTGTGTACTTTTCAGATATATGTTATAGTTCAACAAGAAATTAACTGAAAAACCAAAGTATACCAAGCCCCTACCTAACTTCTAAATTAAGGTCACAAATGCAATTGCTTACTGGGGCCAGGCAGCTAACACAATGTTGAAATCCTGTTGGTTAGGTGATGGGGCCAATGGTAGATTAGAGTGAGGCCAAGTAACTCAAACTGACATATGTTTAAAAACAACTTAAAAAGTGTTGGAAATCTTTCAGACATATATACCATCTATCCCATTTATCCACCACTGAACTTAATAAAACATTACCGGTACAATTGAAAGCGTCTGTGTGGCCTACCCCAACCAAACCTCCTCTTTCTATCCTAGAGTTAACTATTATGCTGAATTTATCATCCCTACTCTTTAAAAAGTAACTTTATATGTATCCCTAAACAGTATATAGTATTGTTTTATGAGATTCATCCATGTTAACACATGTAACTCTAATGTACCTATTTAATATACCCTCTTAAATATACTGATTTTAAAACTAGCATAACTACTTTTAGGGGAAATGTGAAAAAATTTAGTGAAGTTCAGGATATGCACATCCTAAAACCCAATAATTCTACTCCTCAGAATTATATTTAACTGAGAGTATGTGAGTATAAGAAGACAGGTACAAAATTCATCAGATCATTATTGTTATTGTTTGCAATCAATTAGAAACTAGCTGATTATCCATCAACAGAAGAGTAAATACATTGTGGCATATTTACATAATTGAATACTGTGCAGCACTGAAAAGGAAGTTCAAACCATGTTTGAACATGAGGCAGCAGTTTCCAATACAGTCTAAGTTAACACACGAAATCCAGTATTTACATCACTCATTAACAAGTTGATTCTGAAAATGCAGTCTTTTACCAAATACGATTCCTATGTATATTTTTAATCCATTCTAATCCAGTTGAGAGAGAACACACAGCAGACTACTGTTCTGACAATGTTTAGTATACAGCTCTTCCTTTAAACTGTCTTGTAAGTGCTCCAAGAGCATTTTTCCTAGAGCTCATGAAGTCACTGCTTTTGGAATGTGGCAGCCCAAGACCTGACATAAAAGCACCAATGAATCAACAGTTTACAATAGTTCAAAAAGTATTTCTTCAAAGACTATCAAAAATCTTAAACTCTTATTATATGAATATGAACAGCAAAAAGGCACATATTGTTCCTTATGATTACATACAATCTAGATAATTTCTAAGATTGCATAGTTGAGGTTTAAAAGGTCAGACAGATAACATCGGACCCATTCATAAATTATAAAATATATTCCATTCTCAGTCAAAATTTGGCTTTAAGTCTGTCGTGAGGGCCTGGGATTTGTCTTATATATTTAATAATACACTTCATTTTTCTTGGGAAAGCTAAAAAAAAAGGTTAAAGTCATGGGTCACAGCCTTTTATGAGATCATTCATTTCACAAAGGAGAAAGTTATTTTATGCCTGTAAAAATGTATACACCCAGCCTGTAATGTAGCCTATTTTTCCCAATGAGAAGTAGGTAAGAGAGGTGTGCTTATCCTCATTTTACAGATGATTAAGATGAAACTCAAGAACATTAAGACCTTTCCATGGTCACACAAGTGTAGATACTAAATGCATCGCTACCTCTGGAAAATATTAATAGATGAAGCTATTTGTCCACTATTTTTATTTTGACAACTATTTTATGGATGAATAATATTTTTGTGAACTCAGGCAGAAACCCTGTCTCCATGGATAAACAAGTCTATTCAACTGCCTCTGTTTCCAGGGTTATTTCTTTTTAGAAATGTGTTATAAAAATTCAGCAAAAAGAGCTATAGGCTTTCTACATTCTCAGCAAATGACCATGCACAAAATTATTATAATAAAGCTTCAAACAATTACAGAATAGGTTTTGGCTTCATAATTTTAGGTTTCAGCAACTATAGGCTTGTAAATATAAGTCACCTGGAGATTAATGAGGCCACAAACTTAGGGATGTTCAGACACTATAGACTTAGTACATGACAGAGCTAGGTATTCTTAAAATCTAGCAATATTTGAAAATTGGTATTTTTTAAATTATACTTTAAGTTCTGGGGTATATGTGCAGAATGTGCAGGTTTGTTACATACCACGGCACAGGTATGCAAATGCCATGGTGGTTTGGTGCACCCATCAACCCATCATCTACATTAGGTATTTCTCCTAATGCCATCCCCTCCCCTAGCCGTCCACCCCCAACAGGCACTGGTGTGTGATGTTCCCCTCCCTGTGTACATGTGTTCTCATTGTTCAACTCCCACTATGAGTGAGAACATGTGGTGTTTGGTTTTCTGTTCCTGTGTTACTCTGCTGAGAATGATGGTTTCCAGCTTCATCCATGTCCCTGTAAAGGACATAAACTCATCCTTTTTATGGCTGCATAGTATTCCATGGTGTATATGTGCCACATTTTCTTTATCTAGTCTGTCACTGATGGGCATTTGGTTTGCTTCCAAGTCTTTGCTATTGTGAATAGTGCTGCAATAAACATACATGTGCATGTGTCTTTATAGCAGAATGACTTACAATCCTTTGGGTATGTACCAAGTAATGGGATTGCTGGGTCAAATGGTATTTCTGGTTCTAATCCTTGAGGAATCGCCACACTGTCTTCCACAACGGTTGAACTAATTTACCCTCCCACCAACAGTGTAAAAGGGTTCCTATTTCTCCACATCCTCCCCAGCATCTGTTTTTCCTGACTTTTTTTTTTCCCATTTATTTATTTTATTGCATTTTAGGTTTTGGGGTACATGTGAAGAACATGCAAAATTGTTGCATAGGAACACACATGGCAGTGTGATTTGCTGCCTTCCTCCCCATCACCTACATCTGGCATTTCTCCCCTTGCTATCTCTCCCCAGCTTCCCACCCCCCACCCTCCCTCCCCTATTTCCCCCCAACTGACCCCAGTGTGTAGTGCTCCCCTCCCTGTGTCCATGTGTTCTCATTGTTCAACACCCGCCTATGAGTGAGAACATGTGGTATTTGATCTTCTGCTCTTCTGTCAGTTTGCTGAGAATGATGGTTTCCAGGTTCATCCATGTGCCTAACAGAGGACCCTAACTCATCGTTTTTGATGGCTGCATAATATTCCATGGTGTATATGTGCCACATTTTCCCTATCCAGTCTATCATCGATGGGCATTTGGGTTGGTTCCAGGTCTTTGCTATTGTAAACAGTGCTGCAATGAACATTTGTGTACACGTGTCCTTATAGATTGACAAAGTTATCACCTACAATAGCAAAGCCAAGCCGTGGCCCCTGCGCCCTGAGTAATTATAACCAAAATAGCTCGAAAAACGAGAAAGGGGACTCTACCCTTTATGCAGCATGAATTTCTAAAGGAAACCCTGGCTCCCTCAAAGCTTAACCCAAAGGGCTGGACTCCGGCTGCAGCCTCTGAGTGCTCCATAACCGAGTGGTTCTCAAGCTTTGCAAACAACACCATCATCTTGAGGACCACTGCACAGCTGGGCGGGTCCACCTAGAGAATCGGATTCCCTGGGTCCGGGTGGGGTCCGAGAACGTGCATTTGACAGCTCTCTCGAGCCGCTACCGCTGCGGGGGCGGGAGCCCATGCAGAGGACCACCGGGAGCAATCAAAGCACGCAGAGAAATGTTTAGTTTAATGGCATAATTAAAAAAACAACCAACCAATCAACTTTCTCTTCTACCTATGGAAAAAACAGTAAAAATGAATCAAGAACTTCTCGCTTTTTTTTCATAAAACAGTTTAAAAAGAAGAAGGGGAAGACTAGGGAGCTGGTGCAACTGTTGCTAATGGAATGCTATAATGCACAAGGTCAAGGATTTATAAGTTCTAAAAGTCTCTACACGTATCAGTGATAACTCTATTATTAGAAATATAAATGCATAGAAATATATAGTATTAAAAACAGACCTTGCTAATATAAACATATATAAAATATGTCACTTCTCTTGTAATAACAGTATAAAGATGGATCTACAGTTTGCCCTTTGCCTGGTACTCTGAAACCACTCCCCCAATGGTCAATACTGACCTTGAATCAACAGCCGCTGAACCCAGGAGACCCCACAGATGTCTACATTCAGCACCTAGAGGACCCCACCTACTCTCTATGCTGTGTTCCCATGACTCCAGAAATAATTGCAACTCGCATTACTAAGTCCACAGGCAAGTTTGAAATCTAACTAGAAAAAGTAGCAGCAAAGGAAAAATAAGCTGGAATTTGTTAGAAAAGCAATGAGAAGATTTCTTAAAATGCTTCCAGTTCAAGTCAGAATTAAGGCGAACATTAGGTTCCACCATCTTTGCAGAGCTGTAGATGTTTTGCTGTTGTTCTTCCAAAAAAGAAGAATCTATAATAACCATGTTCATTTGAGAAAAATACTGTGTTTGTCAACTTTTTCTAGCCATCCGCAAGTTACTTTAAACTTTGTATGTTGTTCAAGAACAGAGTATATTCTGGTTAGGATGTGTTTATAGCTGATACATCCCCAAAAAATTTTTCATGAAGGCGGCCATCTTCTAAACATATTCAATTGTGACAGCATTATACAGAGAGGCCCAGATGTCTCCCACAGACCTATGTCCTTTTAAGGACAACATATTGAGTTCAAGAGCTTTATCAAGAAATCCTTTTTCTAAAGCATCATCTCCTTTGGCATTGCCAATATGGAATGGAATATTCATCTTGTTTCTATTTTGGGGTTCCACTGGACATACGCAGAATCCATGAGAATTATTAATAATCTCATATATCATTTAGGATTTGATGAAGCTAAGCTTCTCCATGGCCATGGCACCTCCATTGTTTTTAATCCACTCCAGGACAAAGCCCATGAAGTAAAAATATGGAGGCGTGTTGTACAAGGAGCTGTTTCTAGCCTGCACTTTGTATTCCAGGACCAAGGGGCACTCTCAGAGGGCAAACCCCAGCAGGTCATCATGGACAATCACCATGGTGACCCCAGCAGAGCCAACATTCTTCTGGGCACCACAAAAAAATCACACCAAATTTGGAAACATCCACTGACTTAGACAGTAAGTTTGAGGACATGTCGCAAACCAGTACTGCTCGACATCAGGTATAAAGTCAAACTCCACACCATGCACTGTCTCATTTGCACAGTAATACACGTAGGAGGCATACGGGGTGAGGTTCTAGGTGCTTGGATCTGGAATTTTTGTTTAGAGTGAACAATATTTATAGTCCCAAACTTCTTGGCTTCTTCTGTGGCCTTAGCTGACCAAGCTCCTGTCACCACACAGACCGCACACCTTCCTGCTTCCAAGCCAGTCAGGTTTAAGGGGACAGCACTGAACTGGCTGGACCCACCTCCTTGCACAAAAATCACTTTATAGTTGTCTGGAATGGCTAACAATTCCTGCAAAAGATTCTCTGTATTGTTAATAATCTTGGCAAAATCTGACGATCTGTGACTCATTTCAAGAACACTAATGCCAACTCCTCTGTAGTCTAATAATTCCTTTTGTATCTCTAACACTGAGTGTGGTAGTTTGGTGGGACCAGGTCTGAAGTTGACCACCTGTTTCAGGGTATACATGGTGCAGCAGTGAGGGCGGTAGGTCAGTCAAGGAAGACTGAACACGTGAACCATTTCCTCGCTTTTTAATGATCACCATTCTAAGTAACGTGAGATGGTATCTCATTGTGGTTTTGATTTGCATTTCTCTAATGACCAGTGATGATGAGCTTTATTTCATATGTTTGTTGGCTGTATAAATGTCATCTTGAGAAGTGTCTGTTCATACCATTCACCAACTTTTTGATGGGGTTGTTTTTTTCCTGTAAATTTGTTTAAGTTCCATGTAGATTCTGGATATTAGCCCTTTGTCAGATGGATAGATTGCACAAATTTTCCCCTATTCTGTAGGTTGCCTGTTCACTCTGATGATATTTTATTTTGCTGTACAGAAGCTCCTTAGTTTAATTAGATCCCATTTGTCAACTTTGGCTTTTGTTGCCATTGCTTTTGGTATTTTAGTCATAAAGCCTTTGCCCATGCCTATGTCCTGAATGATACTGCCTAGGTTTTCTTCTAGGGTTTTTATGGTTTCAGGTCTTACATTTAAGTCTTTAATCCATCATGAGTTAATTTTTGTATAAGGTACATGAAAGGGGTCCTGTTTCAGTTTTCTGTATACAGCTTGCCAGTTTTCCCAACACCATTTATTAAATAGGGAATCCTTTCCTCATTGCTTGTTTCTGACAATTGGTATTCTTAAAATTCAGACAAGAAAAATCAGAAAATAAATCTCATACCTGGAGTTTTCCCTTTTCATAGGCCAGTTTATTTTTACTTTCAGTAATTTTTCCCAAGACATTTTCCACCTTCTGTTGGACAAGCTGATAAGGCAAACACAGGCATCAGAATCTCTAAGCACAGAAAGGAATAACCATTTTCATTTTTAAACAAGTATTTATATCCTTACCGTTTCTATCATCATAAGATCAAGATTCCTATTTATTTGCTACTGCTGCCTTTTAATCTTTCCCAACATAGTTGATCACATGGCTAATATGCAACATGTACAGACTGCTAATAAAAGCATGAAGCCTTAAGAGTACCAGGGTTTGTTGGTTTGTATATTAACTCTTTTTTTGTTATGTCAGTTATTCCTTTGTAATTATGATCCAACCCAGATGTGGTGTGGTTATATGAGTGACTGCAAGTAGTCTGTAGAGCATTACACAGTTCTTGATGAAAATAGCAGCTGCAAATGACCACAACCACTGACAGCAGAAGGCACCTCACTTATCATGGTAAAAAGCTGTTCAGAAAAATCTCAAAAACAAAATAAGTGTTTATTGGAGACTCGAACTCATTGATCAACTACTCAACACAGCATTATCTGGGGCAAACATTCTATATTTCACAAAATTACATATTTTCATTATTTAAACAGCCCTTAATAACAACAATTATTTTTTCATATGCTGTTGTTCTCAGATCAGAAAAAATAAGTACAAAATATAGTTTTCTTTTGATTAAACTTTGGGCCATATTGGTACTTTCTTTATATGAGGGACATCATTAACTGATTGAACATGGAGATTTTCACTCTCCACAATCAATGCCAGTATTATATCTTAATAACAGGACAAATAGCCATATGTCAAAATTATCATAAACCAAATGTGGAGATAAAGGACACACAAGCAAATGTGACTAAGGACACAAACTCTTAATCACTCATAAGCTAACTAGCTGCACTGTGGATCATTTGCAGTAAATATTAAGTTCAAAGTCTTATTAATGTTGGCAAGTATCTTACATTGACATTATTCACTATTTCTGGTTTATATTTGCTTATTTGGTGAATAATAGAACAGAATGTCTTTTAGGCATTTTAAGCCAAAGAATTTTAGACTTTTGTTTTATGTTCAACTTTAGGTAAGCTGACAAAGATGAAACCCATGCATCAATTTACATAGGAGATATTCCTCATCATTTCCAACATGATTACAGCTATTCTTTAGTCACCACTTTGTAATATCCTTTATTTCAAGTATGTGAACCCAACACGACTGCTTCTAAATAAAAGAAAAAAATTCCAAACTAGATTACTATAATATGTAACTCAGATTTTCCTCTGTTCAAAATATTTTCTATGAGAAGGTACACTAAGCTGGGCATGGTGGCTCACACCTGTAATCCCAGCACTTTAGGTGGCTGAGGTGGGAGGATCACTTGAGGGCAGGAATTCAAGACCAGTATGGTCAACATAGCAAGACCCTGTCTCTACAAAAATTTAAAAAATTAGCTGGGCATAGTGGTGCACACTTTTAGTCCTAGTTACTTGAGAGGCTGAAGTAGGAAAATTGCTTGAACTCAGCAAGTCGAGGCTAGAGTGAGCTGTGATGGTGCCATTACCCTCCAGCCTGGAAGACCAAGCAAGACCGCTATCTCTAAAGAAGAAAAAAGAAAAAAAAGAAGGCACAGTAGGCTGACGCACTGTTTTCTCCTTAGCAGTTGCCTTGGCTAGAAGAATTTGCATTTTTGACATTCAACACTTGTAAAAAATCTATGGAAAAGCCAAAAAGAATTATTAGCCCTTATATGCCACCTACCCTAAAATGATACACCTTTGATATAAAAACTTATATCCAATACTAGGCTTTGGTGGATTATTAACTATCATGACCAAGTATTTGTCCTGTCAGAATTAATATTTCATACATTATTAAAAATATTCATAATTCAGTTTTTAAAAGTTTTAAAAATCACCGTGGCCCAGGCACGGTGGCTCAAGCCTGTAATCCCAGCACTTTGGGAGGCTGAAGCGGGCAGATCACAAGGTCAAGAGATCGAGACTATACTGGAAAACAGATCAAGACCATCCTGGCCAACATGGGGAAATTCCATCTCTACTAAAAATACAAAAATTAGCTGGACGTGGTGGTGCATGCCTGTAGTCCCAGCTACTCGGGAGACTGAGGCAGGAGAAAAGCCTGAACCCAAGAGACAAAGGTTGCAGTGAGCCGAGATTGCACCATTGCACTCCCTGGCAACAAAGCAAGGGTCTGTTTCAAAAAAAAAATAATGATAATAACTGTACTGCTCCTCCTAAGGCAAAGGAAAATATATTTTAAAAAGCATTTAGACAAGTAGAGTAGGATTATGTTGACCAAGTCTTCAGCAGCAAAATAAATTTTGCAAGGATGGTCAATAATACCTCAAAAGCAAAGGTACAACAATAAAACCTTAATTATTTAAAATTTGATTCAAACTTCTACAAATTAACATGTCCCAGTGTGCTGTAAAGCATAGGTAGAACATATGAAAAACCAAGAACTAGAGTTAACTTAAAATATGCGAGTTCTAATGAACAGTAAACACTAAAAAAATAACTATCTTCTTGAAATGTAGGAAGGTTTTATTAAGGAATAAATTATGTGTCTTCTATAAAAGTTGACCAAAAATTTTAAAAATAATGGTACTTTTTCCCATCAATACAATTCCCTCTTTTAGACAAAGGCATAAAGAAATTCTTAATCTTTTAAATATACTTTTAAAATAATAATTTTCTCATTTTGCCATCAAAGAGAATGCTAATATACTAAATAAAAATTGTCTGAGCAAAATCAGAATGTAATATTTGACAAAGGTTTACTTATTTAAATATTATGACACACACACAAAAATTGTTCCCAGTTGCTAAGGGAAAGTGGATGTTAAGGCAGTTACTTAAATTACTGTTTACAGATTTAAATAGGCCCTGTACTTTAGTCAACAGGAGACCAGAAATTAGAAACCACTTAAATGAGTGAATATCTCAGGTTCTGAGTTATAAAAGACTCAACTAATATTAACTTTGCTTAAATGCTCTTGGTAACATACTATAAACATTATTAATATACATAGCAAAACAGAAACTGGGGAATCACTTAAGAAACATCATACAGAGAAAAATGCCAAGCATTAGAATATCCATTTTAACTCAGAAACACACAGATAACACTCTTTGGAAAAACAGGAAGTAAAAATAGGGAGAATTATCTTAAGATATGAAAGGTAGGTTGCCAAAGATCAAAAGTAAACCACAAAATTATTTCTAAAATCATTTTGTAAACCCAGATGAGCTGTACAAGTTAGCTGACGCTGTTATAAGAATACACAAAACCAGTGGGATACTGGCATCTTGGTAAACCTATTTTATAGGCAGACTATAAACATTTTTTAAGTTTTTAATTATTTTGAATTTTTTATTCAAAATATTTAACAACCAGTATGAGTATGACGTGAGCCCCAGCAAATCAAATCAACTTTGACATCTGCATGAGTGTACAATGACAATGTCATCCTGGTTTTAAGAAATAATACATTTCAGTTCATTATTTAATTTCAAGTCATTAAAGTCCCAGTTATACAGGAAATTATATTTCTTTCTGGTGCTACAATTTAAAAATATATGTTTAAACCCCAAAAGAGAAGTGGGGAGGATAATCATTCAAATTGAACTCAGGCATGGAAACCTTCCTACATGTGGATCTTTTCTCACTGTGGTTCCCTGACTGACTGTCAGTAGTAACAGAATTAACTGCACTATCACTACAGGCTAAAATGGCAAAAAATAAACCTAAAATTAGGAAATGTAAAAGAAAAAGCAGAGAGAATATTATTGCAATATGACATTAATCCTTACTGCCTGGCAAAACAGACATGACCCTCTTTGTATTCTAGTCAGTCAATGTTTTTAATGCACCTATTATGTATTAGGCATTCTGCTAGGCAAGGGAAGATAAAAATGAGTAACTGCTGGTTTTGTATTAGAAGAGAGTGAACACAGATGCATAAATAGGTCCACTTCTAATCAATGTAGTAATTATTCTGATATATGGGTGTGCAGAGTATACTGTGGGATACCTACACTAGGAGAGATCCTCTTGGCATTGCAGGCCATGAGAGGTTAAGAGCCTTCCCAGGTCATACAGTAAATGGAGGTTGAAACCAAGTCTATCTGAATTCAAGTTTGTGGCATTACACAGAAAACACACACATGTGTATTTCTAAAAATCAATGAGGGGTTATACCAGAAGGTACCCTTTATAAAGGATTTCAAGTTTTAACTGTCAAAGAACAAAAATAAACTGCCAGCATTGAATGACAATAGGTTTAATGATATTGCTAAGATTCAAAAACAAATCCTGAAATCTCTAGTTCATTCCTCAAACTCATATAGCCAATTGAAGCATTTCCAGGCAGGCGTGGTCAGAGATACCTCTGGGGGGAGAGAGAACTGCAAGCTAGAATTGTGTTGTCTATGAGTTATCACTGGGAACCCGTAATCAAGACAGGTAGGCAGGCAAAAATCAACACTGACTAAATCACTGGCAAGATCTGTCAAAGTCACTAATAAAGTAAGGCTAGGCCTGCTCGCTAGCAATGGATTCAGAAAATAGACTGAGAATGTAGTCTTCCAAAGGAACTCAGCTTAGGCTAGCCAACAAGCAAAGGACATGGCTAAATCTTTAATTCTGTAGAGAGAGGGGGTTGTTCTAAAATAGTACCAGGGTTTACAGCTAATGGATCCTGTCATTCCAATAGTCACTTATTTTTCTCTGAGACAGTTCAGATACTAAGAATTCAATAAACATTAGCTATCTGCTACATGTACTGTATGTATTAATTTACTTAAGCTCAAACATCCTCACAATAATAGCATTATTGTCCTCATTTTGACAGATTAAGAAACTGAGGCTCAGAGAGGTTAAGGATCACACCCAAGGTCATGGCCAAAACTGAAAAGTAGGAAATCTGGCTTGAAACCCATGACAATATAAGAAGATTTAGACTTTGTATAATTTTTCATAGTTGAAGTAATGAGCAGCTTATGACGGTTTGAAAGACTTTAGCTCAGGGTCTTCTAAGAATTTTTGAAGATTATTTGCATGCTTAAAAGCATTTAGTAATACTTTTTCATGTATTCAAAAGCACGCAAGAAAATTATTAGCTACTTAACAGAATGACCATACCTTTAAATCCCCTTTACTTGGAGAAGATGTTTTAAGAACTGTATCATTTATTTGTAATGCACTGACCTTGTCAAATAGCTTTCAGAAATCAGACTTATTACTGATTGCCTAATGGAAGGAATTGTCTGATCAGAAAAAAAATACAAGTTTTTCCTCATAATTTTTGGAAGAGGAACTATTTTAAATTGTTGTATATATTTGTATTTTTCAGTAACATAGATGGTTTGTGAAGGCAAATGTTTAATAAATGCCTTGAATTCACGGTTTCTCAAATTAACTATTGTTTGGCTACTGTAAGAATCTCTGCTATATTTGTTCTGAATTATTCAAGATTTATAATAATTATGAAAACACAAAGAAAACCCATCTTCTGACTTCTGGTTGTTGCTGTTTCTGAACTCATTAGTCACTAATTGGTATTTGGACTGACCTTTTTATACCCACCCCATGGTAATCAGAAGTGACTTGCTGAAGTTCTAGGGAAGCCATTTGATCTGCCAGTTGCTTATTCTCTTCTTCAAGAGTCTGCAGGTTCTGGGTTAATGTGTTTATGTCTACCTTTAGAGAAACAAAAGTAAAAAATAAACCATTCATGCCAGATCCAAAAAAATATTATCTTATTTTTAAAATAACAATCATAACTGTAAAATGGACAATATCTTCCATATGTTCCCTTGCCTCTAAATGTGGAGATTTGACCAGTCAGTCTGATAGCTCTATGATGTTTCTAAGAACCCTTTTCTCTGTATGGTTTGTGGGTCTAAATTTTTTTATTTTTAAATAACCCTTTTCCATTTTTTGAGTTTTTCTAGTTGCCCTCAACAAAAGGGTTATTGTAAATTATATAGTTCTCCTTTACTATAAGTTAAAATCCTTCTGGTATTAACTTAAAATCAATTCAAGCTCATGAATACAGATGCAAAAATCTTCCACAAAATATTAGCAAAACAAACCCAGCAATATATAAAAAGATAACAAATTACGACTAAGTGAAGCTTATGCCAGTAATGCAAAGCTTGTTGAACATTTAACATCAATCAGTATAATACACCACATCAACAGACTATAGAAGAAAAACCAAATAATCATCTTAATACTCACAGTAAAATAATTTCATAAAATTCAACATCAATTCATTATAAAAACTCAGCAAACCAGAAATGAAAGGTAACCACCTCTAGTTGATAAAATGTATCTATAAAAATCCTACAGCTAATATCAAAATTAATGGTAAAAAACTTTCCCCCTAAGGAAAAGGCAAAGGTATCCACTTTCACCACTCCTATTCCACATCATACAGGAGGCCATAGCTGGTGCAATAAAGCAAGAAAACATAATAAAAGGCATAAAGATTGGAAAAGCAGAAATGAAACTGTCTCTACTCAAGACATATGATCATCTAAAGTGGAAATACCAAATAATCTCCAAAAAAGGTACTAGAATAAGTGAGTGTGTCAAGGCTGAAGAATACAAGGGCAAATCTATTGTATTTCTATATATTAACAATGCACAATTAGAAATTCCTATTTTATTAAAATGCCATTTAAAACAGTACTAATACTATAAAATTCTTTAAGTACAAATCTAACAAAATATGTCTAAGATGGGATGTGCTGAAAATTACAAAATACTGATGAGAGAAATAAAAAACTAAAGTAAAATAGATATATCATGTTCATGTACTGACATGTGTTGTGTAACAATCAACAATGGACCACATATGCAACAATGGCTGGAGCAATAGGCTAAACCATATAACCTAGGCGTGTCATAGACTCAAAATAAAGGGATGGAGGAGAATCTATCAAGCAAGTGGAAAACAGAGCAAAGCAGGGGTTGCAATGCAGTTTCTGACAAAGCAGACTTTCAACTAATAAAGATTAAAAAAAGAAAAGAAGGGCATTACATAATGGTAGAGGGTTCAATTCAACAAGAAGAACCAAATCCTAAATATATATGTACCCAACACAAGAGCACCTAGATTCACAAAGCAAGTTCTTAGAGACCTTCAAAGAGACTAAGACTCCCATACAATACTAGTGGGAAACTTTAGGACTCCACTGACAACATTAGACAGATCATAGAGACAGAAAATTAACAAAGATATTCAGGATCTGAACTCAGCACTAGATCAAAAGGAACTGACAGAAATGTACAGATCTCTCCACCCCAAAACAACAATATACATTCTTCTCATCGCTACATGGCATTTACTCTAAAATTGATCACATGATTGGAAGCAAAGCACTCCTCAGCAAATGCAAAATTAGCAAACAGTCTCTCGGACCACAGCACAATTAAATTAGAATTCAAGACTAAGAAATTCATTGAAAGCCACACAACTACATGGAAATTGAACAACCTGATCCTGAATTACTCCTGGGTAAATAATGAAATTAAGGCAAAATTCAATATGTTCTTTAAAACTAATGAGAAAAAAGAGATAATGTACCTAAATCTCTAGGACACAGCTAAGGCACTGTAAAGAGGAAACTGTGTTGCACTAAATGACCACATCAAAAAATTAAATCTCAAGTTAACAACCTAACTTCAGAATTAAAGAACTAAAGAATAAAGAGCAAACAAATCTCAAAGATAGCAGAAAACAAGAAATAACCAAAATCAGAGGTGATCTGAAGGAAATAGAGACACAAAAACCATTCAAAACATCAACAAATCCAGAGCTGTTTTTTAAGAAAAAAATTAATAAAATAGACTTCTACCTAGACTAATAAATAAGAAAGGAGAGAAGTTTCAAATAAACAATCAGAAATAACAAGGGGAATATTACATTGACCCCACAGAAATGCAAACAACCATCAGAGAATATTATAAACATCTCGATGCACATAAACTAGAAAATCTAGAAGAAACAGGTAAATTCCTAGATATATACACCCTCCCAAGACTGAACCAGGAAGAAGAAATTGAATCCCTGAACAAACCAATAACGAGTTCAGAAATTGAGGCAGTAATAAATAGCCTACCAACCAAAAAACACCTAGGTTCAGACAGATTCACAGCTGAATTCTACCATTTGTACAAAGAACAACTGGTATCATTTCTGCTGAAACAATTTCAAAAAATTGAAAAGGAGGGACTCCTCTCTAACTTGTTCTATGAGGCCAGCATCGTCCTGATACCAAAACCTGGTAGAGATACAACCACAAAAAAAAACAAAACAAACAAACAAACAAAAAACTGCAGGACAATATCCTTGGTGAACACTGATGCAAAAATTCTCAATGAAATACTGGCAAACTGAATCCAGTAGAACATCAAAAAGCTTATCTGCCATGATCGAGCAGGCTACATCACTGGGATGCAAGGTTAGTTCAACATATACAAATCAATAAATGTGATGGATCACATAAACAGAACTAAAGAGAAAAACCACATGATTATCTCAATAGATGCAGAAAAGGCCATCAATAAAATTCAACATCCCTTCACGTTAAAAACTCTCAATAAACTAGGCATTGAAGGAACATACCTCAAAATAACAAGAGCCATCTATGACAAACCCACAACCAACATCATACCGAACTGGCAAAAGGTGGAAGCATTCCCCTCGAAAGCCGGCACAAGACAAGATGCCCTCTCTCACCACTCCTATTCAATATAATATTGGAAGTTCTGGCCAAGGCAATCAAGAAAGAGAAAGAAATGAAGGGCATTTAAATAGAAAGGGAGGAAATCAAACTGTCGCTGATTGCAATGATGTGATCCTATATTTCAAAACTCTATCACCTCAGCCCAAAAGCTTCTTCAGCTGATAAGCAACTTCAGTCTCAGGGTATAAAACCAATGTGAAAAAATCATTAGCATCCTACACACCAACAACAGTAAATCTGAGAGCCAAATCATGAATGAACTCTCATTCACAGTTGTCACAAAAAGAATAAAATACCTAGGAATACAGCTAACCAGGGAGGTGAAAGGTCTCTACAAGGAGAACTACAAAACACTGCTCAAATAAGAGATGACACTAACAAACAAAAAAACATTCTATGCTCATGGATAGGAAGAATCATGCCATTAAAATGGCCATACAGCCTAAAGCAATTCACAGATTCAATGCTATTCCTATTAAACTACCATTGACATTCTTCACAGAGCTAGAAAAAACTATTTTAAAATTTATATAGAACCAAACAAGAGCCTGAATAGTTAGCCTGAATCCTAAGCAAAAAGAACAAAGCTGTAGGTATCATGCTACTCAACTTCACACTATACTACAGGGCTATAGTAACCAAAACAGCATGGTACTGGTATAAGAACAGACACATAAGACCAATGGAACAGAAAGGAGAACCCAGAAATAAGACCACATACCTACAGTTATCTGATCTTCGACAAACCTGACAAAAACAAGCAATGGGGAAAGGATTCTCTGTTCAATAAATGGGACTGGGATAATTGGCTAGCCATATGCCTAAAATGGAAACTGGACCCCCTTCCGTATACCATATACAAAACTTAACTCAAAATAGATTAAGGACTTAAATATAAAACCAAATATTATAAAAACTCTGGGAGACAACCTAGGTAATACTATTCAGAACATAGGCACAAGCAAAGATTTCATGACAAAGATGTCAAAAGCAATCATGACAAAAGCAAAAGTTGACAAATGGGATCTAATTAAACTAAAGAACTTCTGCATAGCAAAAGAAACTATCAACAGAGTGAACAGACAGCCTACAGAATGGAAGACTACACATCTGATGAAGTTCTAATATCCAGCATCTATAAGGAACTTAAACAAATTTACAAGAAAAAGACAAACAACCTAATTAAACAATGGGCAAAAGACATGAACAGACACTTCTTAAAAGAAGACATACATGTGGCCAACAATCATATGAAGAAAGCTCAACATCACTGATCATTAGAGAACTGTGAATCAATATCACCGTAAGATGCCATCTCACACTAGTCAGAATGACTATTAAAAAGTCAGAAAAGTAACAAATGCTGGTGAGGTTATGAGAAAAAGGAACACCTGTACACTGCTGGTGGGAGTATAAGTTAGTTCAACTACTGTTGAAGACAGTGTGACAATTCCTCAAAGTCCTAAAGACAGAAATACCCTTTGACCCAGCAATTCCATTATGGGGTATATACCCAAAGGAATATAAATCATTCCATTATAAAGACACATGTATGTGTATATTCATTGCAGCACTATTCACAACAGCAAATACCTGGAATCAAGCTGAATGCTCATCAATGATAGACTGGATAAATAAAATGTGGTACATACAAACCATGGAATACTATGAAGCCATAAAAAAGAATGCGATCATGTCCTCGTGATCATGGATGAAGCTAGAGGCCATTATCCTTAGCAAACTAACACAGGAACAGAAAACCAAGTATCACATGTTCTCACTTATAAGTGGAAGCTAAATGATGAGACTATATGAACACACAGAGGAGAACAATGCACACTGGGGCATATCAAACGCTGAAGGAGGGTGGAGGGAGAGGATCAGGAAAAATAACAATACCTGGGTGATGAAATAATCTGCATGACAAACCCCCATGATACACAT